ATTTTGTTCTCATAAATATAAAAATCCTACAAATTATGAAAACTGTCAAACTTTCTCAATTCTTGTACAATTTTACCAAATGAGCAAATCATATCTCATAAACAAGGTATCATAATATCTTGAGGCGACACATTAATAAATCACATATCTACATATTCTTTATAAATAAATGTATGTGATTAGATGTTATTACAAACTTTCAAATGCACGTAATCTTACAAAGATTCATTTTATCCCAAAAAAAAAATCAACAATAGTGGTTACTAACTATTCTTTAATATACAGGTGATACAATAATCTATTCATGTCAAACATAAATATTTTTTTTAGGAAAAATTACGCGGTTAAGCAAACTTATACTACTTAAGCAGTCATCATAGTTATAGTTTGCTATAATTACCACTCGCGACTAACATTAACCATTAATTACGTGGCTGACTCGAGTTTGTATAATTAGTCATGTTTGTATAATTCGCCACATTTGTATAATTCGCAACTAACAATTCTTCGTTTGATTTGTATTTGTATATGACGGTGATTTCCTTTGGTTTTTCAATTTTATTACCATATACATTCAATCTTTTTTTTTGTATAACTTTTTAAAGTTTGTATAAACGTGTAGCTTTCAGATATTGTATAATATAATTTATATAATGTAATTTGTATAAATATTATAATTGTTTAAAGTTCATATGTTTATGTTTGTATCAATTCGTTATTTCGAGTTTTATCATATTTGTATAATTTCAGACTTTGTATTACTCAATTATACAAAAACACGCGAATTATACAAACGTACCCCCGAATTATACAAACAAGATGCAAATTATATAAACCATTGCCCTTTCTCGCTCACCTCTCTCCTCCCTATCCCAATCTTGCTCGCCAGATATACAAATACATATGTATATCAGTTACATATATACAATTATTTTGACAGATATACATATACAATTTGCCTCTCTCCGCTCTCTGCCCTCTCTCACTCGTCTCTCTCCTCCTCTCCCAGTTTCGCTCGCCACGCTCCTCTCTATAACATGTAGCTACGAATCGTAATTAGCAAACTATAGTTATGGAGCATAATTAAGCTATTTTTGAGTAGTTGTATGTGAAAGTTCCTCTTTTCTTTTTATATCAAATTTAAAACAATGAATCCTTATCCGCAAAATATAAACTTATATCAAGTTTATATTTTTAAAAATTGAGATATCACTTTCTGAAAAATTTGAGATATTAAATTATAATTTAAAAATTAAAATTGAAATTTTATTCTAGTTTTATAGAACATAATTTTTTTAGGAAAAAACATAAATGATACATTACATTTATATCCACTCACAAATCACACATAGATCTTTCTGATGCTTCATCATTAGCTAAGCCACTTAACTTGAGGAAAAAACAAGAAAGAAGAATGAGACAATGCATGCATATTAGAAGAAGTAAAATAAACTGTTTTTCTAAGAATACAAGTTCAAGGAAAACATATACATATGGCATATACAATATATCATTTGTATATCATATGTATAATGTAACGTGTGTGTCATGTTTAACACATCGTTATTCTTCCTTCTTCCATCAAAATCACTCAAAAACTTATCCATGTAAAATATAACTAGAACTTCTATGTTATACACCAAATATTATACTATGTTCCAAATAGAGTAACAATCCAAAAGACTAGTTATGAGGTGGAGAGTTTATTTAGCCTAGTTACACATTTGGTCGATCGACCAAAAATAATTACATTCGTTGGTCAAATATATAAAAAGTTATATTATTTTGTATCAAATTAAAGTTATATATTTTATGTATATAATACATTTATATACAAAATATACATTTCTTGACTATTATTTTGGTGGACGGCTATTTATGTCAATTTTAAAAAATTAATGGAGAAGAAGTGACATATAATAATCGTCCCCATGTGAAGACCAACAACGTTGGTCATGGATTCAAGCCACCACTCCTCACAAATAGGCTACCAATTTGAGTCACAATCTCAAACGTTGATTGACCTACTCTAATATTGATATTATTAAAGAAGTGTAGCATCAGAGTATGATCAAATTAAGGAGTCAGTGGAGTAAATAACGGGTCTTTTTTTCCAAATTATGAGATAAGTTGAATTGACCAACTTTGGAAGTTTGGGGGTACAAAACCAAATCGAAAATTGAACCAAATCGTAAATTAAGTCAAACTGAAGAAAAAAAACTCGATTAATGGTTTGGTATTGGAAAAAAATCCAACTTTACTTGGGTTGGTTTAGTTTTAACTAAAAAAAAGTCAACCTGAGCCAGACCAAACCAACCCGACATTATATATATAATTTTTCTCTTTTAAAATTTACTTTATATATAAAAGTATTTACTTTGATATAATTTCAAAATATTACTTAAACTTTTTCATAATTTCTATCTTTTATCATATTTTTTCAAGTTCTTTGAGATTTATAATTTTGAATGGTTCAATAAGATTATAGTCCATAGATATTAGTAATTCTAATAAAAACTCAATTCAAAAATCAAATCAATATTAATGCTAACAAAAAAATTGATTCAACACTAAAAATGACAATAATATTGATAATTTGTTCTTTAGTTTTACATTGGTTTAGACATTTAAAATTCATAACCTAATTTTGTTTTTTTCTTTAATGTTTAATCATGTAATTAATACTTATTAGACTTATTTTAGCATGATTTAGTACTTTTAAACTATGATCCTTTTCATTATGACTTATTAATTTGCAATATTTATTTTATGTGATTTCATTATTATTTTTTTGTTGAATATTTTTATTGCCATCACTCATCTCATATTTTGTGTTTATTCTCTTAAGAAACACCTTAGACAATTGTATTTTGGTTAGACTAAAGAAATATTTGAAGCATAATTTAATTATATGTTTGTATTAATACTTTACCCAAAAAAAATCTGAAAAACCTCAAGGTTTATTAGTATGACTTGATTTATAAATTTGAAAATTCGACACAAATGGTTTGATTTGATATTTGAAAACTCCGAACCAAACTGAAAAAACCTGAGATTGAGGAAACGGAGTTTTATAAGTTTGATTTGGTTTATAAATTTAAAAATTCGACACAAATGATTTGATTTGATATTTGAAAAATGCAAACCAACCCGATCATTTACACCTAGTTCGCACTATGCAGTAATTAGTACAGTCCACCGGCCCATTGAATAAGAAAGGCCCAACAATTGTTTGCCCTCTATTTGAATAGTTTTGAGGCACAAAATTTGATCTCTTGCAAATATGAATTATTTTGAAATTTGAGTGAATAATATATGAAGTGATTCGAAATATTGAGAGCAGCTCAAATTTATATTTTAAGACTTTTTGGAGGAAATTTGAGTTAGATGGGATTGAAAAAAAGTTGCTTGCTGAGGAAGATGAATATTTGCAACTATATAAATATTATATAAAAAGTGTGTATGTATTTATATACATCTCTAATACATAATTATACATTATATATAGTTATACAATATTAATACATTACATATGCATGCAACTAATTTAGTTAAAAAAAATAGTCTTCTTTTAGAATTGTCAAACAAAAAATTACAAATCAAATAAAAAAAATTAAGACAAATAACCGAATTACTATAAAGACAAACACCTAAATTAAGAATTAAGAGTCTGTTTGACTTGGTTATTTTTTTAAAAATCTAAAATCAAATCAAATTATTTAAAAGTAAAAATCTATACAAAAAAAGTATAAATCTTTTTTATCGATTTAATTCAATTTTCGATTTTTCAATTTTCCGTGAACACCCCTAATTCAGTAATTCTAACTATGTAGCAAATGGTTAATTAGTTGAGTCTTTGATAAAACAATTGGTATTTTGTATTGGTGTAAGATTGAGTCCTTCGTCAACCAAACACTACAACACAAAGGTGACATCAAATTTTTATATTTTTCTAATGTTGATATGTCCGGCATTTGTCTTTTATCACATCTTACTTGAGTTACTAATCTACAAATGTTAAATCAGCAAAAAATCTTAGATTTTTTATTAACTTTTTTTTTTGGTCTTATGTCATGTGATTGATTAACTAAGGCGACATACATGAACAATTCCTTAAATTTGTCAATTTATTTCATTTATACATTTAAATTTCGATAATTTCTAATTGAGCATATGGTTAGTGTTTCTATTAGACATTTCCGACTTGTATCTTTAAAAAATATTTGTGCGTAAGCACCAATTATGTAAATATGATAATCACTTAAAGTATGTCACTTTCTTTAGTTATAAGCAGTAAAACCTAAGGCCTACTCTAATTGAGATTGACGAATATAATTAAAAAAAATGTTGCAGGATTTACGTGGTTAACTAATTTACTTCATATACTCTTGACTAGGCGCGCAATTTTTTTTCCAGAATTTGAATAGTAATTTTCTAATAAGAATACTTTATTATTATGTGTTTAGATGCTCAATTGGAACTTAATGTAGTTCAAGTGTCTAAATAAAATTCATAACAAATTTAAGAGATTGTCGATGTATTCCGCCATTAAACAGTGTTGTGCCTTACAATGGGAACAAGAAAAATACCCTCTTTAGCCAAATGCATTCTCTTTATTACTCTTTCATATCCTTGACTTCTTCTTCTTTTTCTAATGAAGAAAAAGTTATATAGCTCTCTATTTGATTGTGTTAATATAGAGTACCCTTTAGCATTTCAAGAAAATGAATTGCTTCACACCATTATTAATCATGTTCATCATGGTTTTCTCCATATCATATGACTTAGTTTTTTCTCAAACCACTAGTAGTTTCAACAAATGTGTCCTGGATTTTAACACTTCTTCTTTATCATCAAGGGACTCATGTACAACTTTAGACAACAATTGGGATGGTTTCTTAACTCACCCTTGTTGTGGATTACCTTTCAACATATATTTACGAGCATTGGCGCGTTGGACAAACCAAACAAGACTTATCTTTCTCAATTCCATACAACAGATGGACTGCTTAACTTTGATGAATAACAATAGTACTGATATTTTTAGCTGTGGCATTGAGAAGTTGACTAGTGGTGCAGGAGGTTGTTCGGATTATTCAGAGATCGACGTTCTGAATGAGATAGGAAGCAGATTGAATAGTCTGAGGGATGATTGTAGGCTAATGGATTCAGAAGGAGGACTTACTAAGGGATGCAATAAGTGTTTGAAGACATGGAGAGAAATAGCTTACACGTCGAAAAATGATTCGATGAAACTTGAAGATGACATTTGTAGATTTAGTATGCTGATTTTGTTAACAAGTCAAAGAGTTGCTGATGAGAGTTGGATTGACAAGATCTTTCATTGCCTAGGAGACAACTCTCTCCCTTTAGGTAAGTTTACTTTACTTCCTGTTATAAACATATTTAAGTTTTGAAATTTAACTATGATCTTGATTGATCATTGTACTGTGCAGCATCGTCTGCAGATGAGAGTGGAAATGAAACGATACGTAATACTAAGTTTAAAACTGGTAAGTCTTGAAATCCATATACATAAAAATTACTGATATTGCTGAGTTTCAGGACAAAAGAGTGTGTTTATTGTTAAGCATTGGTTAAATATGCAGATCTTTCAATTCTAATTGTTGGTGTAGTTGGGATGGTGTTAGTTGTAATCGTTGCGTTGTGGATCTATGTGAAAAGGAAGGCTGAAGTTAAACCATCAAGTGAAAGATATAGTAAGCCCTCTACACATAACAATCATTGTTTTGAATGTTTTAGCTTATTCTAATTCTGCTTAATGTTGATGGTATCAGATGAATCTTACTCTGAAGAATCAAGCTATCGTAGACTATCACTTAAAGAAATTTACTCTGCGACTGACAGTCTCAGCATGTCCAACTTCATAGGTCAAGGCATAGCTGGTAAGTCACAATCGAACGTTGTAGTAGTTGACTTCATATTAGTAACATGCATAAATCAGATATGATCATGTTTTACAGGAAAAGTATACAAAGGCATTTTAGCAGATAGACAACATGTGGCTATTAAGCACATAATTAAGGATGAACAGATGGAAACATTTGTTAGAGAAGTTACAAGTCTCTCTCATATCAAACATCCGAACCTCGTATCCCTGCTAGGCCACTATGATGCACCAAATGAATGTTTTCTAGTTTATGAGCTATGCCACAATGGAAATCTTTCCGAATGGCTATTTGGTATGTTTTTGCTCTTTGAGCATTTCTCTGTTCTTTGTTGATCTAAATTGTATAGTGTCCTGATTTTAAAACCCCTGCTGAGCAGGTAAAAGTAAATATCTCTCGTGGAGACGAAGACTAGAAATTGCACTTGATTGTGCTCGTGGTCTCCTCTTTCTCCATTCGTATCCTCAAGGATCAATTGTTCACCGGGATATCAAGGTAAAATCTTATTTTACATCCATAATCTGTCTTCCATTTTCTAAAAAAAAATCAGTTGTGTTTCCTCTTTTTGGTGAAATTTTGCAGCCAGCAAACATTCTTCTATCTGCTAGCTTTGAAGCCAAACTCTCAGACTTTGGTTTGTCCAAAATTATTAGCATTGGACATTCATATGCTAGCTCAGAAGTGAGAGGAACCTATGGTTATGTTGATCCTGAGTACCAAAAGAACCGTCATGTTAATTCTTATGGTGATGTCTATAGCTTTGGGATAGTACTGCTACAACTTTTATCTGGACAAAGGGTTATCAACTTGGATTTGAAGAATCCAATGCCTCTAAGTAAAATGGTAAACATACTAACTCCTCCATTTTCTCTTGCATTCATTTTGAGTTTTTTTTTTCTCTTTAACGCGTCTTTTTGAATCATAGGCGAAAAACTTGACCAAAGGTGGGAATATCAAAGAATTTGCTGATCTCAAACTGGAGGGGAAATTCTCAATGGAGGCATTTGAACTTGTTCTTAAGCTAGCTTTGACTAGCATAGGACTTAAGCAGCAAAGACCATCCATGGAACAGGTGGTTGTTAAACTCGAAGAGGCTCTCGATTTATCAACAAGAGTTGAGTCAGTCCATCCTTAGTGCACATTCTCATGTACAATTAACTTTCATTTCATCCTACCCAAGAACTCAAAGGTGAATCTAGAATTTATAGTCAATGGTTCCCATTGAACTCGCTGAAGATCCGCCTCTGCCCAAGATTGTACTTAAGTTTCCTCTTATACACATTTTGATCTCAATTTAGGTGCCTACCAGAAGATGAAACTGAACAATCAAAGATAAAACAAGTAAACTGATTGTATATTTATACCAACTGATTCAGATAAGATAATGCTTATTATTTAGTCGAAGATTACAACGATTGATGTTTACATTATGTTTTCTAGTTTATGAGCTATGCCACAATGGAAATCTTTCCGAATGGCTATTTGGTATGTTTTTGCTCTTTGAGCATTTCTCTGATCTTTGTTGATCTAAATTGTATAGTGTCCTGATTTCAACACCCCTGCTGAGCAGGTAAAAGTAAATATCTCTCGTGGAGACGAAGACTAGAAGTTGCACTTGATTGTGCTCGTGGTCTCCTCTTTCTCCACTCGTATCCTCAAGGATCAATTGTTCACCGGGATATCAAGGTAAAATCTTATTTTACATCCATAATCTGTCTTCCATTTTCTAAAAAAAAATCAGTTGTGTTTCCTCTTTTTGGTGAAATTTTGCAGCCAGCAAACATTCTTCTATCTGCTAGCTTTGAAGCCAAACTCTCAGACTTTGGTTTGTCCAAAATTATTAGCATTGGACATTCATATGCTAGCTCAGAAGTGAGAGGAACCTATGGTTATGTTGATCCTGAGTACCAAAAGAACCGTCATGTTAATTCTTATGGTGATGTCTATAGCTTTGGGATAGTACTGCTACAACTTTTATCTGGACAAAGGGTTATCAACTTGGATTTGAAGAATCCAATGCCTCTAAGTAAAATGGTAAACATACTAACTCCTCCATTTTCTCTTGCATTCATTTTGAGTTTTTTTTTTCTCTTTAACGCGTCTTTTTGAATCATAGGCGAAAAACTTGACCAAAGGTGGGAATATCAAAGAATTTGCTGATCTCAAACTGGAGGGGAAATTCTCAATGGAGGCATTTGAACTTGTTCTTAAGCTAGCTTTGACTAGCATAGGACTTAAGCAGCAAAGACCATCCATGGAACAGGTGGTTGTTAAACTCGAAGAGGCTCTCGATTTATCAACAAGAGTTGAGTCAGTCCATCCTTAGTGCACATTCTCATGTACAATTAACTTTCATTTCATCCTACCCAAGAACTCAAAGGTGAATCTAGAATTTATAGTCAATGGTTCCCATTGAACTCGCTGAAGATCCGCCTCTGCCCAAGATTGTACTTAAGTTTCCTCTTATACACATTTTGATCTCAATTTAGGTGCCTACCAGAAGATGAAACTGAACAATCAAAGATAAAACAAGTAAACTGATTGTATATTTATACCAACTGATTCAGATAAGATAATGCTTATTATTTAGTCGAAGATTACAACGATTGATGTTTACATTAACAACAATTCACATTAACATCAGAAAGTATAGAGATACAAGTAAAACTATACAAAGCTTCATTCAAAAAACCAGAAGCTGCAGCAGTGTAGTGTGACTAGCTCTTAAAAACTTGAGCCGATATCACCAGTAAAGGAAAATGACACTAAAGCATCCTACACCATGGTGTATATATACATGTTGGATGCTTGTAAATAATTACCATACATTAATGAATTGATCCTCTATAAAAACTGGAGTGATCAAGCCAGATGAGGTCTTCTCGTTGTACTCGTGCAAGATTCTGATGAGTGTACTAGCTTTCTTGCTTGCTTTTGAGTTGCCTTCAGCCAGGAGGGAATATAACGGTCCCATGAGAGATGAGTTCTTTACTAAAACAGGAACTGCATCTGCTCCACCATTGATACACAAAGCCAGCAACAATGAGACACAGTACTCTTTTGATGCCCTTGAATTGCAAGAACTTAGAACATTGACAATAATAGGCAAAGCTCCAGCATAAAGAACAGCCATTGCTCCGTCTAGCCTTTCAGAAAGCGTTGTTAAAACTGCTAAAGAATCTGTAATGAGATCTTCCCTTTCGAAAGATTTCAACAGATTAACCACCAAGGGGACTAATCCAGCAGCAATCACTCTCCAGTGGTTTTCGGGGCGCATTAGGAGGCCAAAAATGGTGACCAAGGCATTCTTTTTTCCTCTGTCAGTGCCATTTCTTAGCAACTCCAAAAGTGATGGAATGAACTCTGGATTTTCTCCCATCATTTTACGGTACTCTTCTACTGATGTAAGGTAGAATAATGTACCAGCTGCGTGCTGTCGAGCTTCCATCTTTAGCCCTCCTTTCAACACATCAAGTATCAAGAACAAACCTCCATTTCCAACAATTGTGCTTTTGCATTTAGAGTTCTTTGAGAGGTTCAGCAGAGTAGCCATTGAATTCTCTTGACAAGAAGAATCCCTTGAAGTAACAAGATTCAGAAGAGGTGGGATTACACCAGCTTCCACCAAACAAGACCTGTTAAAAATGCTTGTTTTAGTGAGCAAACGTAATCCCTAAATAATCAAGAACCCTTTTCAGATCATGTGATTCAGGAACAATTCCATCTTCAAGTTGATCCAAAATCTTCAAAACATTCACTTGCATTCTCACATCATCCATTTCCACTTCAAACTTCAACTTAACAGCTTGATTCTTCACAAACTCAACCACTTCTTGACCGTCCACAGAAACATCCATTTCCTTCAAGGGAAGAGCATCAAGTGCCACAGCAACAGCTCTTGCCAGCATCTGAAACTGGCAAGAGACATCCTCGGATTTCGCTAAAATCCATATTCTTGAATCTTCTCTGCTACAATCATCTAACAAGAAATGAAACTTGTGGAAGATAAAATGAATCTCAGATAAGCTCACAATACTTGAATTAGCAAATCTTGAAACCCCATTTGGGATTTCTTTAAGAACAATGAGAATATCCTCAATTAAACGAATCGAATTCCTAACATTCTTCTTATTTGTATAAAAAGTTCTTGACTTGTATTCACATATTGTTTGGCCTAATTGGATCAAAGATGAAACAAGGCTAGAAAAACACACTGTTTCACCAGGACGAATAGCCGGAAAATTCAAAATCCGGCGAATGAATTCGTTAGATTTGTTGATCATTGAGATAAAAAATATATCAAGAAAACACAAAGATCAAATCTTAAAAAGTATATATGAACAAAAGGGGAAAAAATGTGTGTATGATAAAAATCTAAAGAATCCACACGCTGACTACTAACTCCGCCCCTGATATTAGTTTTCTATATTTCCCATAGTACGTTTTAAGAAATCATTAATAAGAATGTTAGTTTTATTAATTTATCCTTCAGAAACTTTTTAAAAACTTTACAAAATTGTTTACACTTTTAAAAAAAGAATTAGTTATAAAGGTAAATTGACAAGTAAGGTAGGATAACTATTTAAAGTATAATTAACAACTAATATGAGACGGACAACAATAAATACATTTATGCTTTTAGTTTATGTTTGAAGTTGATTAGACTTAAAAAGGAAGAAAGAATGAAAGTGACTTGACGAGAGATATTTATTGGTGTAGATGGAGGTTGATTATTATCCAATTAATATATTGTGATTCTATGTTATAAAAATAAAGGTTCAAATTTACCCTCATATTTTATAGAAAGATTTAATTTTGTACTATGTAGGAAGTTTGGCTTATTCAATTTCGCAACGTTATAATTCTAATTTGAATTTGCTTTTAGTCGCTAACAAATCAAATATTATATAGGGAAAAGATCCATATTTCCCTTTTGTGGTATGCAAAATAAATTACACAATAAAATGTTAAAATCACTTCAAAATCATGATTTTTTTCACATAATGAAATTGACGATGAATCAAAATTCTTATTTTTCTCTTTCTTTTAGTCATGAGTCATGACACATTTTGACTAAATCTCATTGGATTGTTGTGAGCAGTATTTCTATGATAGTGTAGCCACAATATAGCCATGTGGCATGTTTATGCACTCATGATCGAAATAATTAGAGACCAACTAATATTCCTTCCGTTCGTATTTAGATGTCATTATTTTAGATTTCACGTCTTTTAAGAAATTACATAAATTTATCATTACATTCTTATTTAATGTTATCTTAATGTCAAGTTTGAGAAATTTCGAGTTAAAACTAAAATAACAAAAGGATAAATGAAACACACTTCTAATAGAGAGCAAAGTAAAACCTTCTCACAGTACAAAAACTAATTTGGACCATTTTCTTAAACGATATAGTAATGCTGATGTTCAAACTAAATTACGCACACTTCAATTATTTCATATTTAGCATAAGTATAGCAAAACAACTTTCCTTACTTAAATTTGAACAGATTAAAAGATAGGCATAATACATATATTGGCCCCTAAACTTGGCTTCAAATTTCAACTTTGACCTCCAACTTTCATAATGCACAAATAGGCACTTTAACTATCCCACATTTAAATAAATAAACACACAATTTTCGGAGCCAAAAGCGTGAAATGCAAACGCTCCAACGTGTATTAGTGACCCACTCAATGACTGCCAACTAATTCAATGCATGTGGGCCCGTTTTCCTGTCTATTTGACACCTTTTCAATTTGCCATGCATTTATTTCAATCTCTTTTAATGGATATGGACCCCACCTCACTAATTCCATTCCCTTCTCTTTATTTCTGCCTCACAACTTCTTCCTTCACTTTCATTTTGTGGTAAATTAATATTTGAAAATGTCAATTATTCAATTTATAATTTATTTGTCTTATTTCTTTTTTTAATTTATGTGTATTCAAAGATTACATTTAAGATACTATAAATTATTAGACTTAATATTTAAAATTTTTTATTACAAATTTGAAAATTACGTAATATACACTATTAATTACAATAATTACTAATTTAAAATATTTTTTCAATCTAATAAGAGCCTACAAACACACTATACGTTATATTTAAAAGTACTATAAATCATAATTAAAAAAAAAAAAAATTAGAAAATTTTTTGTTGACTCTTGAAATTCTATTGGTGACACATGAATTTGAATAGATGGAACAATATATATTATTGAAAGTTAACAATACTATAAGTTATTCGAAAATGACGTTAATGATTTTTATAAATTATAACAAATTAGCAACTAAAATATTTTTGAAAAAACATACAAAAAA